GAAAGAAAGAAAGAAATTATTGAATAGATGGATGGATGGATGGATGGATGGATGGATGGATGGATGGATGGATGGATGGATGGAAATAAAAAGAAAGAAAGAAAGAAAGAAAGAAAGAAAGAAAGAAAGAAAGAAAGAAAGAAAGAAAGAAAGAAAGATGAAAAAGAATGAAACGATAAAAAGGATAATGGATAAAAATGAATGAATAAATTAATTGATGGTTTAATGAATGAATTAATTAATTAATGAATTGAAATAGAAAGAAAGAAAGAAAGAAAGAAAGAAAGAAAGAAAGAACTCAGCAAAGTTATATGTTCCATGCAACCAGTACTTGAGCAGCTCCCAGCTGTGTGTGAGTAATTAAAGGAGAGTCATAACAGATGTGTATGTGTGGTGCCTAAAGGGAGTTGTAGTCCATATGTAGACGGGACTGTAGTCCTCCAGTGATCTGTATGTAATAGATCGCTGGTGATTAAAACATTGTTGCTTGGCCCCTAATAACCAAAGTAGTGAAACTGTGTGCACTACACATTTGCATGTTTAAGACACTACAAAAAATTATAAATAATTTACTGTCGAAGAATTTTTAGCCCTCCTGATTTATTAGCCACCCTGTATACTTTTTTTACCCATTACTCTTTAATGCAATTTTTTTTTTCTCAACACATTTCTAAACATAACAGTTTTAATAACTAATTTATACTTTATAATAACATATTTATGTTATCTTTGCCATGATGACAGTATATAATATTTTACTAGATATGAATTAAAATACTAGTATTAAAAAAAAATGGTTTGCTCTGTAGACAATCGGAAAAACATATTGTTTAAGGTAGCTAATAATTTTGACCTTAAAATGGTAATTAAAATGTTTTTATTCTAGCTCAAGTAAAACAAATAAATCTTTCTCCAGAAGAAAAAATATTATCGGAAATACTGTGAAAATTTCCTTGCTCTGTTAAACATAATTTGGGAAATATTTAAAAATAAACTAAAAAAAATCACAGGGGGTGGGGTATGATTTCACAACTGTTAGATTAATATCTTACCCCACTCTTCCCCACGGTGCAATCACGCTGTGAAGAAAACAGTGGAGAAAAACAATTCTAAGGCTTTTTCATTTGCAGTGTTGTGCGCAGTGAAGTATGTTGAGGCATTTTTATGGGGTCAGTGTTGTGAATGTGCGATGCGCGCGCATGCATGAGTGTTTGCTGTTCTGGATGGCTAGTTCAGAGGCTCCCGCTGTCTTCTCCCTGACCCTCAGGCTAAAAGCTCGCCCAGATCATAGAGCCCAAGGTCAGAGTTGAGAACTATCAAGCTCAATCCCACCCAGCTTAAAGCCTCAGAGGCCCATTGAGTCCTGCCTGTTGACACAAAAGAGAAGTAAACACAACAACACGGGGGTCGGGAACAGAAGCAATCGAAGAGCTTTTGGAAAATGAGCATGGCTGTACACCAGCACTCTGATTCCACTGGCTTCTAAACAACTTTGAAGAAGTTTTCAGTTGAGATGTCAGGATTGCTGGCGTTAAGCTGATACTAAAACCTGTTAAATGCATTGATGGTAATTAAACAGAGAGGACAGGGCAGTTTTGCATCAGTAAGTTTGTATTACATGTAAACAGTCTAAGATACAGTTTAAATTTGAAGTGGATCAAACATCTTAATCAAACTTGCTCAAAATTATTTTGGTTTTAGAACAACTTTTATTAAAGATTTTGATCCACTTCAAATTCTGATTACTGGTGCTTACCCAGATACCAAATAATTCTGGCCCAGATTTGGCATGAAGCTGGGACAGCAGGCATTCATCCAGCACTGGCATGCAGCATGTGGGCCAAACATAACCCGGGTTTGGCAGAGGTGGCACTGTCTTTAAGACAATGGGCCAGATGTCAAATGTAATATTTGGTCCAGTTGTTAAATACTGATATGTGGGCCACCTAATGTTGGCCATTCTTGACCCACATTTAAAATACTTTAAAATCATTTTTGAGTGAAGAAAAAAATTCTACCAATCAGGTCACTTCGAGAAAAATCACATCCACAATGCGCCTAAGCGTAATGCTTTATGAGTTTAATAATTTCATTGCAGTCGGGACACACATATCTGGCCCAGTTCAGGCCCAGTTATGAGTTATTAACTTAGATTTGGCCCAGATATGATCTATGTTTGGCCATTGTCTGGAAGCCAGACTTTGTCCAGTCATGTACCGTAATTCACTGCTGCATTTGGACTAAGCAAAAGCTGATTGTGTGGGCCAGTGAAATTTTGCTCTATGGGTAATATTGTTAGCAAGGAAGGTTACCACCTAGCAAAATTTCTCTTGCCCAGATCTGGCCCGCACAACTAGCTTTTGCTTAACCCACATGCCACAGTGAATTACGGTACATCATTAGATCAAGTCTGGCTTTCATACAAGTGCCAAACATGCACCATATCTGGGCCAAATCTCAGCCAGTTCAGTCAGCCATATCAGTCAGTTTATAAACCATAACTGGGCCAGATGTGTTGGTGTGTCATGACTGCAGTGAATTTGAAAAACCCATGAAGCATTGCACTTTATGGTCATGCTTTTTCTCAAAGCGACCCAATTGGAAGAATTTTTTCTTCACTCAAAAAATAATTTAAATGCATTTTAAAAGTGGGTCAAGATTAATTGGGTGGCCCACATATACATGTTTAACATCTGGGCCAAATACTACATTTGATCTGGCCCAAGTCTTATGCCGCCCTAAAGATCGTGTCACGTCTGCCAAACCCGAGCCATGCTTGGCCCACATGCTGTAAGCCAGTGCCAGACGAATGCCTGCTATGCCAGCTTAATGCCAAATCTGGGCCAGCATTCCTTGCTACCTGGGAATGTAATATTTACAATATGTATATCATTAAAAAAGGTCAAATATTAATTTTGTTTTTAAGTATTAACCTGGAAATATATCATCTAAAGTTTGCATGTTGTTACGGTGCCCAACCAAGTGGTCTTCTATTACATTATTTTTCATCCTTTGCTCATTCATGCAAGCAAGATGCTTATCATGCTAGAAACAATCATAGTGTGTCTTAATTACCTTGAGGATCCACAACACAATCTCACGGCAATTCGTAACTTTTTCATTTAGTGGCTAATTCGTATGAATTCGTATGATCTAATTCATACAATTTAGTACGATTTGCTTATCCCTCAATGACAGTTGGGGTTAGGGGTGGGGTTAGGTGCCACGCCTCCTTTTTAAAATCGTATCATTTCATACGACTGAAATCGTACGAATTCGTATGAATTAGCCACTAAACTGGCAAAACGTAAAATACTTACGTTTTCTCATGAGATCAGGCTGAGATACACAACTTTTTGATTTATGACCCACAACAGAACTGATATTTTACAGAGATTTTATTTTTATAATGCTGCTTATAGTACATTATAGATAATTACTGATTGTCTCATATACCCACAGCGTTTCAGCCATAGTTATAAATTTGCTAGATTGTTCCAGACCTGCTATGTTTGTTTATGTTTAAATATGAATAAAGTATGGTTTAGTTTTTAAAAGCATCTCTAGCATGTTATTGTGTTTGGCTGGTTTATACATGTGAATATTTTTTGTGCTTCAGAAATTCAATTAAGGGACTATATTCGGCATGTCATGATTTTGCCAAGTACAATGCAATCCTGAATTAACATCTATGTTGATCCTGGAACATAATTTTTGTTTGAAATATAATCCTATAAAAATCCTATAAAACTATGCCCAACCCTCTAAACCCAACCATAACTGTAAATTATTCCCAAAATCAGAGGGGAATAATTGTTTGATAACAGTCATGTAGAAGTGCATAAACCTAACCGTAAGCCTAAACCTAACATAAACGGTAAACACATCCCTTAATTCTGATTGGCTGATTGGAAAGTTGTTCCAGGATCAACATAGATGTTTATCCAGGAACATATCCTACTTTGTGAAATCAGGTGATATTCATGGTGCATTTTGTGAATTTTTAGAAAGCGAAAGCTATAGTGCTCTGAGGTGTTTTGCAATTGAGACAGCCCTTAAAATGGCCAACTCTCTGATCAGTGCCTTACTGAACTAGGGAGCTGATTGAGATGCACCCAGATTGTTGAGACATTCTTGTGTAGCAACATTGTAAACATGCTAGAAACATGCTAGCAGCATGCTCACGCATGTCAGAACATAATAATTCAATTGACTAAACCATGCTACTGTATTAAATCATATTAGAAACATATAAATTTTTAATGTTATTATCGCTAGTAGTGTTAAAACACACATCATGTTAAAGAATTATATTTACTCTATTGGTGTAGCATGGTGGCTCAGTGGTTAGCACTGTCACCTTACATCAAGAAGGTCACTAGTTCATGTCCCGACTTGACCAGTTGGCATTTCTGTGTGGAGTTTGCATGTTTTCCCTATGTTCATGTGGGTTTCCTTCGGTGGAGAATGGATGTGTATGGGTGGCTCCAAGTACTGGGTTGCGGCTGGAAAGGCAACATACGCTGGAATAGTTGGTAGTTCATGCTGTGCCGACCTCTGAAATGGAGACTAAGCCGAAGGAAAATTAATGAATGAATTTATACGTTACTTACTTTCTTTTTTTCCTCCAGGTTTAAACGTTACCATGACAAAGCACATTTTTATGTTACACTATCATTACTGTCTAGTTGTAATTCAGCTAATTCATGTTTCTATTAATATTTAACTTCTAAAAAAAATGCTAATATATTCGCTCATTTGGGAATCATGAAACTTCAAGTTCATTTTAACTCTTGTGCGCTCCAGAAGTTTTACTGTTAACCGTAATTGTTCACTACTTGTCCTGAAATATGGGACGTCACCTGTAGGTCGCTTTCACCAGAAGAAAACAATTGTCTTCAATGAATATAAATGTGATGGGGTGGAATAAGAGTAATGACTATATGTCGGGGAATAAATAAGTGCATACAGATTTATTCATTTTTATTCTCTTTTCACAGGTGATTCTGATTCTCACCAAGCTGTATGACTTTCACCTTGGCAGCGTCACAGAGAGCACGCTATGGAGGTGAGCTAAAGCCACCATTTCTCTCTCTATCTATCTTTCTCTCTCTCTCTCTCTCTCTCCCATCTTCGCTCTTTTTCTCCTCTCCATTACACTCTCTGTCCCTGGCAGAGTATTTGAGCGCTGCCGAGTGGAGTTACGTGATTTTGCCTGAAGCGAGGAGAGGCAGTGTTCACTTCAGGAGCCATTCTATCTCAAACATTACACTTGCGAACAGCCCATAATGCAGTTGCACATCTGCATGAATTTTCAATCTAATAAATGCATTGTTAATTGCGTTTCAGCAGTCTGAACTCATCGTCTTATGTTTTTTTTTTTTTTTTTGTTAGTGTTGTGTTGTATTTGCAACACAGTAAACATGCCAGATTTGTGCTAAAACATGCTAGGAACAGGCTAGCATGATGTTCATCCATGTTATTGTCAGAAATTTGTGTTAGCTTCATGAAGAGGTTTGTAATTTTCATTGGAAATCCATGAATGCTACATTGGTTATGTGAAGCACATCTCATCAACCAAATAGCAGCTTTTAGTCTCCATTCCTGTGTGCTAGAGGAAGCGTTAGCATTAGCCGTTATGCTGTTTAGGCTTACGATTAAGGTTTTCCTTTAATAGGGTTTGTTATTTTGTTAGAAATGCTAACAACACACTAAATATGTTAGCAAAGTTAAAATATTAAACATGTTAAAATTTACAAAAAATGCTATAAACCATCATGAAATTAACATGTAAAATCATTTTAACAGTAAAATACAAAACAGTATATTAGCAATATGTTTAAAAATGTCTTTTTTTTATTATTTGTGTGTGTGCTAATGCTAGAAACATGTTCGTAGCATTGGAAAAACTCATGCTAGCATCAAACTAAACATTTTAGCAAAGTTAGAACATATCAAATCTGTTGAAACTTATGAGAAAAAGCTAGTAAACTATCAAGATATCATCATGATAGCAGTTGTAAAATGTTAGCAAAATACAAAACAGTACACTAGCAATATTTTAAAATATTTCTAAGAATTATTTATCCGTGTGCTATTGCTAGAAACATATTCTTAGCATAAGATAAATGAATACTAGCGTCATACTTAGCATGTTAGCAAAGTTAAAATATATGAAATGTGTTAAAACTTGTTAAAAATGCTAGAAAATCATCAATATATCATCATGATAGCAGTTGTAATATGTTAGCAAAGTACAACAGTATATTAGCAAATTAAAAATAGCTTTTGTTTATCATTTATCTGTGTGCTAATACTAGAAACATGTTCTTAGCATAGGATTAATGAATGCTAGCGTCACTCTAATCATGTTAGCAAAGTTAAAATTTATCAAATGTCTAAGAATGTGCTTGAAAATGCTAGTAAATCATCAAGATATCATCATGAAAACAGGTGTAAAATGTTAGCAAAATACAACAGTATATTAGCAATATTAAAAAATAGCTTTTGTTTATTATTTATCTGTGTGCTAATACTAGAAACATTTTCTTAGCAAAGGATTAATGAATGATTGTGTCATACTAAACATGTTAGCAAAGGTTAAACATCAAATGTGTTGACGTGTTAGTAAGTTAGTAAATCATCAAGATATCATCACGATAGCAGTTGAAAAAATGTTAGCAAAATACAACAGTATATTAGCAATATTAATATAGTAGTATAATATTAATTTAATATAATAATATAATTTAATATAATATAATATTAATTTATCTGTGTGCTAATACTAGAAACAAGTTCTTAGCATATGATTAATGAATGCTAGCTACATACTAATAATTTTAGCAAAGATATAACATATCAAATGTGCTAGAAAATGCTAGTAAATCATTAAGATAGCATCATGATAGCAGTTGTAAAATCTAAACAAAATACAAAACAGTATATTAGCAATATTTAAAAATATTTATTTTTTTAATAATTATCCATGTACTAATACTAGAAACATGTTGTTAGCATAGGATTAATGCATGCTAGCATCAAACTAAATATGTTAGCAAAGTTAAAGCATATCAAATGTGTTAAAACAGGCTAGAAAATGCTTGTAAATCATGGAGATTTCATCACGATAGCAGTTGTAAAATGTTAGCTAAATACAAAACAATATATTAGCAATGTTTTATAAATTATTTTTTTTATTTTTTTTTATCTGTGAGCTAATGCTAGAAACATGTTCTTATTAGCATAGGGATAACCCATGCTTGCATCAAACTAAACATGATAGCAAAGTTAAAACATCAAATGTGTTAAAACTTGCTAGAACATGCTAGTAAATCATTAAGATATCATCATGTTAGCAAAATACAAAACAGTATATTAGCAATATTTAAGAAAAGTATATATATATATATATATATATATATAATTTGTGTTCTTATATGGTAGGAACCAGTTCTTAACATACTGTAGGGTTTGTAGATGCTAGCATCAAATTAGACATTTTCGCAATGTAAAAAACTTGATAGCCACATCTTACAATATGGAAGTATGCTAGTTTATGCTAGTTATGTTAAATCTTGTTCTGTTGTTGTAAATCGTAAAACATGCTATAGATATGCTTTTTTCCATGCAAATTCTTATTTATTTTTTATTTTATTTTATCATTTGTGTCAGCTATTGTTGAAATAGATTACTCCCTCAACTGCAGAGTGGCTTATAGCTAAACACTGCCTGTTTCTCCATATTTAGAGCAGAATAGAAGGCTTTGACACTGATCCATACCACAAAAGTCCTCTGTAGTTTAAATTGAATTTCTTTTGTCATCCCATTGTAATCCTTATTGGCTCCGTTAGATTCACGTTTACTGGTGTTTTGGACTCTTTGTGCAATTGAGAGTGATAGGGGCAGCCTTATCTTTCACACGGTCAACTGAACACTTCAATTTGGACAGCGAGAAGCTCCATATTGAGGTGCTTAAGTCTGACGTCTGATTTGAGATGACAAGTGCAGTGCTCTTTTCATCAGCTGCTGTAGGACACAAGGGTTTCAAGGTTAATGGCTTTTCTGAGAATATACTGAAGGCTTTTTTAGTCAAGGATGTATCTCATTCTTTGCGCCATATTAGAGAAAAACAGCCCATGGCAGGATTGTATTCATAATCGTTGTACAATTAAGCAGTTACAGAACATCAGATGAAAGGATTTGGGAGCATAAGTAAATTACACTGGGTATAATTGATATTTGGTTTATCTACATTTAAAGGATGGAGGATTTTATACTCTGTATGCATGTCAGAGCTAATACATGTAAATGGTTTTGTTGGCTTAAGAAGGCTTCTGTTATTTTAGCTGCTTTGTTCATTCATGCTAGCAATGTGCTAGACTACTAGAATAAAACATAGTGTTCAAACATGCTAGCAGAAAAGTAATGACTGTTGAAACATTTTTTCTTCTTCTACAACCATCAAACTTAGCCAACTTAAATTCTAACATGTTAAATCACACCAGCAACATGTTTCATGCTGTCAATAACTGACTAGCCTAAACCTTGAAACACACTTAAGGCTGAATATGCTAGAAACATGCCACTAACATGCTACTTAATGCTGGCAAATTGTGGAATGTTACGTTTATGCGAACAAAATGCTAATATTGCTAGAAATGTGCTCTAGATACAGTACATGCAACCTACATTTTTAATGTTAGTGGTGGAAATGCTAGCTACACAGTTCATATTTAGTGCAATGGCAGCATGTTTAGCTAGCAGCTTACTAATTCACACTTACAATATATTAGCCATGTTAGAAAAGCATGACAATTTATGCTAATACATTTTTATTGATATCAACATCCTGATTATTGTTTTGAGTGTTAAACATGCTTGGAGAAACATTCTACTAATTGCAGGTAAACATTTGTGTCATAACTTTTATTTCATGCTAAACATGCTATAAACATACAAATTCTTGCATGAAACACTGTCATAACATGCTAATCCTAGCTTATGTCAAGAACATGCCAATTCATGGTAGCAGCATATTGATTCATGCAATAAAAATGATAACAACAGGATTATTGTGTTAACCATGCTAGGGAAAACATTTTGCTAATTTTTATTTCATACCAAACATGCTAGAAGAATAGTTATGTATTATGCACATGCTAATTCATGCTAACATGCCAATTCATGCTAGCAGCATATGAATATGTTAATGATAGCTAGTCCAGCCTGGTTTAAGCTGGATATAGCTGGTTTTGACTGGGCTTCCTGCCTGGCTAGGCTGATTAAACTGGTTTTAGCTGGTCACCTCCCAGCCAGCTAAGACCAGGCTGGAAATGGCTGGAAACCAGCCTGGAAATGGCCAAAACCCCTCTAAAACCAGCCTGGTCGAACAGCTAAACCAGCCTAGGCTGGTTTAAGCTGTTTTTAACTACACAAATCAACGTTTAAAGGAGCAACATTCTGCTTTATGCTAGCAACATGCTAATTCACACTAAGAATAGATCAATCATTTTAGAAAAGCATGACAATTTGTGGTAGTAAATTGTTTCTGAAAACATTCACGTGGCAACTTTTTATTTCATGCTGAACATGCTAGAAATATTCATGTAATAAACACTAACAACATGTTAATCCATGCTAATATGTTCAAAAACATGCCAATTCATGCTAGCAGCATACAGTATTAATACATGTCAATGATAGAATGCTAGCTACACAAATCAAAGTTAGCTTATAATAGCAGTGTGTTAACAACATTCTGCTTTCTGCTAGTGATTCACTAATTCATGCTAACCCTGTTAGTAAAGCATGATAATTCATGCTATTAAATTGTTAATGATAACAACATGATAATTGTTGTTTTGAGAGCCTTAACCATGTTAGGAACAACATTCTACTGATTACTGGCAAACATTCTTTTTTTTTCATGTTTTTTTATTTCATGCTAAACATGCTAGAAATATATAAACACACTAACAACATGTTAATCCATGCTAACATGTCAAAATCATGTCAATTTATGCTAGCAGCATATTAATATGTGTCAATGCTAAAAATGTTAGCAAC